GTTATTCTTTTAGGTTAGTAAATACGTTTGGTAACTGATTTACTATATTTTGTAAAATAATAATCTTTTGAATTTCAAGTTCATATTGATTTTTACAAGGATCAAAACTAGATAATGATAATTTATTCTAGAAAATTTTCTGTTGTAGTTGCTTAATTTTCTCCCCCTAATGTTGAAAAAATTATTTCATCAATATGACAATTGACAAACTTTGTTATGAATAAATCTCCTATTGATAATTCTAGATATTTAATTACAAATGGAGATTCGTATCTAACATATATTCATAATCTCCTTTGAGGACCCATCTTTGTGCGTTGTGGTGGAGCAATTGAAACTTATACCGTACATCCAAAAATTTTTAGATGAGAAATATTTGGTTCTTGACCATAAACTAATTGTATAGGGAGAATTTATAATAACTCGTTTGGCTTGATGCATACTAATGCTACTGCATCCAAAATGGCTTGCCCCCAAGCAGTTATTGGGAGTTTAAATTTCATAAGTAATGGCCTTGCAATCAATTGGAAGTGTTTAATAAATAATTCTGCTAGACCATTTTGTATATAAACATAAGCAACAGGCTGTTCAATAGTTTTTCCAACTAATATGCAATATTGAAGGCTTGAGATGTAAATCTATAAACATTATCAAGATAAATTATCTTGTTTATTTAACTAAGAAAATTTGCTTGCAAACAAATGATTGCAAATGCCAAATTGCAAGCTGGTAATAAGCACACATGTGACCATCTAGTCGATGCATCGATTAAAACTATAAAATATCTAAATAGTTCACATGGTGGATGTATGAATCCACATATAATATGAATATTATTCAAATACGCAGGGAATTCAATCCCAACTTTAGTTGATGATAACCTTATAATTTATTTACCTTTAGAGCAAGCAGCACATAAAATTCATTAGATTGAAAAATCTTTTATTTTTTCAATGAATGATTGTATAAATTTTCAATCTTTTTTTTTTTTGCATCATTATTGATCTAGGATGGTCCAACCAGTCATGCCGAACATTAAAATCATTAGTAAATTTCTGGTTTACTATGAGTTTCAATTATTCTAATATTTATATAGTTTAATTCAAAGAATAGAGCAAGTAATTTTTTTTTTCAACACACACTTTCTACTTGAGATAATAGATGT